AATATTTTCAAAACTATATATTATATACGTTTTCAAAAAATATTTTCAAAACTATATTATATACGTTATATATACTAAATAAAACCTGAACAAAAATACACACTACAAGGGTGAATGCAAAAATGTGTCTGACATCCCTGCCACTAACATTCATCAACATTATAGTTTACGGTTCCAAAGTAGAGATTTATTCTCACTTCTATTAAATCAAATTTAGACAATCCCGTACTTGGAAACTGATGCAGAACACATATGGCAATCAATTGCTCTAATAGCATCAAATGGTGCAGCGGTGCTTCCTTCTTTTTGGACTCTCAGGCAGAAGGGAGCCATATATGTCATGGGCTCGCTTGCATTTGCATATGATTTATATTTATGACAATCTTTTGTGATGAATCATTAGCATTTAGCAGTTCAAAGGCATGCATAACCATTAATTGGAAGGGTATTAATATGCAGAAAAAGTTTTGAAATGGTTATAGTATTTTTGAGATAACTAATATCAACCAACTTTTGAGTAAAGGAACATTAAGCATTGGAATTGAACTAATTCTAATAATCCAACATGAACTTGCTTACTCATTCTTTGATAGTTGTTTTTTAGTCAATAACTTAGTTGCTTTTATGCAGGCTTTTGCAGAATGGGTGATCTACGCGACAAGTGGGATTTCGAGTGGATTATATCATGCATGTGATGTGGGCACCTGGTGTGCGTTATCGTTTGGTGTCTTACAGGTATATGTTGGTAGTTTTTCCCCCTAATGAAGGATAACATTATTCATCATGACAAACGTTGAAAAAGCATATCATAAGTACACTATGAAAAAACACAAATCCAACTTTTATGTAAATCTGTGGACCTATTGCATACCGTTGTTGCTAAAGTTCTCTATCATATTTTCAGCTAATTGTTTTGAGCTGATATTGAATAGCAATTTGGGAAATCTTCCAGTTTTTTGACTTTTGGCACTCATTCTTGGCTGTGGTGAGCACCTTTGTATACCTCACTACAATCGGTGAAGTTTATAAAAGGACAATCCACACGGTCGTGACTATCCTTACTGCCCTCATGGCCATAACCAAGACAACAAGGTATACGGATCTTGTTGCATTTTTATTAACGTAAATTACGACCCTGTTCTAACGGATTGAACAGGTTTTTGACTGAGCTAAGTTGTGCAGGTCATCAAATGTTATTCTTGTCATGGCAATTGGAGCACTAGCTCTTCTTGTTGGGTGGTTGATAGAGTTCTGTAGCAAGTATAGAACACTTTCCTTTTCAATGGATTTATGTTATACACTCGAGAGGTGAGATTCTCTTCTCTACCATCATGCAGCTCATGCATGTTTTTTTGTTTTTTTATTTCAGCTCCTGATACAAATATAATGCATACTTGGGATTCATGCACTAGCACACAACCGGCCTATAGTTATTAGTAATGTATTCCAAGAGGGTTAAAATTTTGGTTCTTTTCAATTTTATACTGTTATGCTTACTATGCTTGGAACATTGGGGTTACTGTGATTTATTATCTGCCGTCTGAAGTGCATGATTTTCACCTAAAAGTGGAAATCATGCTTTGTCAAAAGAAACATCAGCATATAATTAGAAACGTTAATGCCCGAAGACAACGCAGTAGTGTTCACTGGATGAGCTACTGAAACTTTCTCTTCCAAGAAAGAAGCACAACCTGGTTGATAGGTTGTGGCCTAACAAATACCCTAACATAACACATTAGTGTTTACCGGATAAACTAATTAACTTTGTATTCTTAAAAAGCTTAGTGCCTTTTTTTTGTACTGCAGATGGCGGATCAGAGAATGTATGAATAATCTAGTAAAAACTTTAATGAAGCAATTTCGATGGGGCTTTCTGCTTGCTGGTTTTAGAGCACTGGCCATGGCAGCAATAAGCAGGAATCTCGAGAAGAGTCAAAACTACCGGATTTGGCACAGGTTTGGATTTGTCCATCCTTTTTGTTTTATAAAATCTTTCTGACCTCTCCCTTTCTCTACGCACACACGCACGTCTATATGTATCATATATGATTGTAGAACTTTGATACAGTGTCTGGCATGTCACCATATACACATCGTCTTTCTTCTTCCTCTGTTCAAAAGTAGATACCATAAACAGCGGAAGCGAGAGACCCGCAGATGGAAACTATCAGTTAACTCGCCAAGTTTCTCTGTCGAGAGGTTATTAGAAAGAGGGAAGAATTGAGAGAGAGAATTGCAGTTGAAATAGAAAGGAAATAAAGTCACTGTCAAGACATGCAGGGAACATTTCCATCTGCCACAGTAATTGGTACAACCAAATAAAAGACCACCTCTTAATTAGTGATGAACTGAAGGGCGCTGGAGGTGCGGTTGCACTTTGAAATTTTTAAATTTTCATATAATTTTATATTTTTATTGATAATGTAATTTTATATTTCTAAATTTGTAATATAAATTTCTAAATTCGTAGCTTTAGTATAAAATTATGTGTTCATTCCTGAAAGTAATGAATCGGATCACAAGTGACATGTAAATGTGCTGTCCAGACCTATTTTTCCCTTTTCATTATCACTTGGTCTTGGACTCCATTTGGGCATATTGATTATCAACTTTCCACCATGCATGTGCCTTATGTTATACAATGCATTAAATAATTTGACAGATGAATGAAAGAAAAAGGTGGTGGTTTTTATTGGAAGCAGTGGGTCTGAATATATTTAAATGTAACTGTTCTAAGTGTAAAAAGAAAATTCATGTAATTAGTGTAATACACCAGATGATTGTCAATTTGTTACTAATTTTCCAGATAAAGGGAAGTCAATTTGTTATCTTCGATAACCCACCAAACCGAATACATACAGTTGAATTCCAAACAAGAAAACAATAGTCTATTTTCTTGACTGCATCAAAGTGGAGAAGCAAATTCCTACATGATTCAGCGCCTTGAAGGGCACGTCATAATCGAAATTAATTATTCTCGCTAAAACAATGGTGGTTGGTTAGGTTATCAGTCTCGTAATTTATTCCATTGTTGAACTCAAACCCATTTGTTTTTCCTTGTAATCAAATATAAAAAGAAAAAAGATTAATGGATCTGAAAATAAAATTAATTTATCTTATATTGCCTTGGACTACATAGATACGTATTGTATAATGCTGCAGACTGCAGAAACGCACCAGTTCTTTCAGGTCGATATGCGTTTGACTTTCCTCTCACGTAGCAGGATAAATGGCAGGTTATCAGAATTCAGAGGCATAATGGGCACATCTTTTTTAACAAAGGAACCTTTTAAAGGCCCAGAGAGAGTCAAACTTATATTATATATATATATATTCTCAAGGTTAATTATAATCGACGTGGATCTAAAGATATTTTGAAGTGTGATTATATATATTAATAATATATAAAAGTTTTATAAATGAATAAAAATAAATTTTAGAATATATATAATTAATAAATGAATGAATAATTGAAAAAAAATTAGATTTCGACAAGATACGACAACGACAACAAAACCCTATTCCCATATGCAATGGGATAAGGGGAGGTAGGGTAGCAGGCTGCCCTCAACGCCAGGTTGAGAGCAGCTTCCGTGGAAGACATCCGACAGTCAAAAAATTAAAAATAAAGATAAAATATAATACATGTATAAATAAATAAATACATAGTTGAACAGTCTTCATATACGCGTATGTAGTGGAAAGTAATCTCTGCAAATAAATCTCTGCGTAAAAAATCTCTGCATATAGACAGAAACTTAAGACCCGGCTAAATTTAAAAAGAAGAAACATGAAGAGAATGATACACAGAAGTCAACGATAACAAACTACGAGAAAAAATAAAGTCAAATGGATAATCATGTTCGCTGTAAATTTAGATTTCGACAAGATGTTTGTTGTAATTACAATAGATATAGCCCAACTATAGTTTAATTTTGAAATTTTTGAAACTAATTAATCATGTTATTTTTTATTATAAATCTGGGATGAATATAAAATAATATTTATTCAAAGATAACTCTAAACTATTTCACAATGAACATTATATCGCTGACATACGCGATGTTTGAATCCGAGAACTCAAATGATAACAACAAATCTTTTAATCACTGAGATCATTTGGTTCGTACTAATTAAATTATGTTCTTAAAATATAATTGTCTTTCACATAAATAATTTGAATGCAACATATTAAAATAAAAGAAAGTAGTTCTTATAACAGCATCTTTTATCAGATTCAATTTAAATTTTGATGAAGTCTTAAATTTAAAATGTGATTAAAGATCTAAATTAATAGAATAATATAATTTGTAAAATGTTGATACTTTCAAATAGAATGGTTAAAATCGATAGATGAATTTGAGAATGGTTGATACAGTATAACCCTAATTGAATCTGGTAGGAATGGGACTCCGGAATGAAGAAAACAAAGAAGAGAAGGCACGCAGCAGCTGCTTGCACGGAGCGTTGGTAGTAAATTGGTGGTGGTGGATTTGCTCACCTAACCAAATCCCACATGACTTTGCCCATTTTCATTTAGGACTCCTCCTTCCCTAAACATTCTAGGTTTGATTATTTTCCTTTAATATATTCATTTCCATCCTCTGTCTTATATTTTCTTTTCCATTTTACAGTCTTTATCTGTCTGTCTTAGTTCCTCAACTAAACTCATTAAATTCTCTTGCTTGAATTTAAGACCTTGTCGGTCCCCTTTTCCTTCTGAATCTTTAAGGAGTTTCAACAACCTCTCAGCATATTTATGGTGGTGCATCTCATGGTTAGAGAGAGAGAAGAAGACGAAGAATGGTGCAATTCAAGGGAACAGTCTGTCTCTAATAATTGCTTCTCTTTATATTTTCACCTATAAATCATCTCTCTATAAACACCCCCCCCCCCATTTTGCTCTATACCTCTTCTATCTTCATTTTTTTACATTCGTAAAATACAAAGAGAATTAAGCAGGCATTTTCCTTTTATCTGGTTTAGGGTTGCCTTTCCACTTTGCCCCATTTTGAGGTAAGTTGTCTTTTAAAACTTTCCCCATAAAAAAAGAAAAAGAAAAAAGTCTGTTTCTCGAGAAAATTCTTTTGGGAGGGGGTTTGGTTTGTTGTAGTTGTGATTATGGATGTATCGACTGCTCTGCTACTTTTGGCGGCTATCACAGCTTACCTACTGTGGTTCACGTTCATCTCACGGTCTCTGCGTGGTCCACGTGTCTGGCCTCTATTGGGCAGTCTTCCTGGCTTGATTGAGAACTGTGACCGCTTGCATGACTGGATCTCCGACAACCTCCGTGCCTGCGGCGGCACGTACCAGACCTGCATTTGTGCCGTCCCCTTCTTGGCCAAGAAACAAGGTCTCGTGACGGTCACGTGCGATCCGAAGAATTTGGAGCACATCCTCAGGACCCGGTTCGACAATTACCCCAAAGGTCCTACGTGGCAAGCCGTGTTCCATGATCTGCTCGGTCAGGGCATCTTCAACTCCGACGGTGACACGTGGCTGTTCCAGAGGAGGACCGCTGCGCTGGAATTCACGACTAGGACTCTTAAACAAGCCATGGCTCGGTGGGTGAGTAGAGCCATCAAGTTCCGGTTCTGCCCGATCCTCGAAGAAGCTCAAAACAAAACCGAACCGGTCGATCTACAAGACGTGTTGCTCCGGCTCACCTTTGATAACATTTGTGGTTTAGCTTTCGGAAAGGACCCGCAAACATGCGCCCAACAGCTCCTCGAGAACAGCTTCGCTTCTGCTTTTGACCGAGCCACCGAAGCCTCCCTTCAACGGTTTATTTTGCCCGAGGTTTTGTGGAAGATCAAGAAATGGCTTCGGCTTGGATTAGAAGCCACCCTGAGCCGAAGCGTTCTCCACATAAACCACTATTTATCCGACGTCATCGTTACACGTAAGCAAGAACTGCTGAGTCAGCAAAAAGATGGGAATCCACACGACGATTTGCTCTCCCGATTCATGAGGAAAAAAGAATCTTACTCGGACGAGTTTCTCCAACAAGTGGCGCTCAATTTCATCCTAGCTGGACGTGACACGTCATCCGTTGCTCTCTGTTGGTTTTTCTGGCTCATCACTCAACATCCAACCGTTGAAGACAAAATCCTACGTGAAATCAGCACCGTCCTGATCGAAACACGCGGCATCGACACATTAACTTGGCTTGATGAACCTTTGGGATTCGAAGAACTTGATCGGTTGATATATTTGAAGGCTGCGTTGTCGGAAACCCTGAGGCTATACCCGTCGGTGCCGCAGGATTCGAAGCATGTGGTGGCCGATGACGTGTTTCCGGACGGAACTTTTGTTCCGGCAGGATCGTCGGTTACGTATTCTATATATTCGGTAGGGAGAATGAAGTCAATATGGGGTGACGATTGCCTCGAGTTCCGTCCCGAAAGGTGGTTAACACTGAACGGGAAGGAGTTCATCACGCATGACTCTTACAAATTCGTCGCATTCAATGCGGGACCAAGAATATGTTTGGGCAAAGGTTTGGCTTATCTTCAAATGAAGTCGGTTGCGGCTGCGGCGCTGTTGAGGCATAAGCTGACGGTGGCGCCTGGGCATAAGGTGGAGCAGAAGATTTCGTTGACTTTGTTTATGAAATATGGTCTTAAAGTAAACGTGCATGGGAGAGATTTGGGAGGCATTGTTGAAAAGATTATGAGTGAAGAGAATTTACATGGTAAATGCAACGGCGAATGATGGTTTTCAGGGCGGCGCGTGAGTGAGGGTGGAAAACAGAGTTCAATTCTACTTGGAAGTGGGGGTCATGCTGACATGGAGGTTAATTCATAACTTTGGCATATTCTTTATAAGCCTTTTATTTATTTATTTTTGTTCGAAAAACAATTTAATAATTATTGTTTTCTTTTGTGCGGGTTATTCTATAACATTCTTTTATCATCTTCTTTCGTTTGTGTATATTTCTGCACTTGTTTCTAATATTATTAAAATAAAAGTGAATATTATTGACGTGTTATCATTAATTTATTTATGATGTATTATATCAAATATTAATCTTTGAATTAATATCATATATTAGTATACATAATTATATAACTTTCTTCAAGATCTTGCATAATTTTCTATCAGGATTTACTGCAGCAAGTAATATTATATGGTCTTGGTTTCATTTAACCGTGGGAGATGGAATTAGTTGTTTGTAGGCCATAACAGACCCACATATTCACTTGAACTATGACAAAAAAATCCTCATCTTTTTTTCGACAAAAAGTTAGTTTTTTATTAAATAAAATGGTATGGTATACTAAAAGCAATATAATTATATTATAAAAATCAGAGATAGATTGAGTGGATAACCGAAGATATCCGTTCCGTGAAAATAGAAATTATCATATATTTTAAATTTTTTTATTGATAATAGGTTGTCACCTAAAATTTTAGAAGTTTATCTACTAACATAAAGTCTCTAGTTTTTCATGATAGAAAGCCAGAGAGATAAAGAAGAATAAATCAAAATCATGTACTGATTACATATTTTATTTTCCAAAAAGAAAAACCTAACCAATGTTAATAATCTTATCGTCTCTATTCAAATTTAGACGTAATATTAATGTAGACATGGAGTTTGAGAGGATCAATATGACATATCGTTCGATGAATAATTTCGAATGCATTGATAAATTATCACAAATGAAATCTAACTTTACGAGACCAATAAACTTTATTGATCAAGAGATATGTCAAGATAAATGAAAAATTGTTAAATTAACATAATAATAGATAAAACACGAACAATCATTCTATAAGGAAAAGGAAAAAGAAAAATAACCCTTCAAGAATATGTGAAAAAGAAAAAAAATACACAAGTAGAAATTAAACCCATAAACATACAGGGAGCTTTATAGTTTGTAAATGTTGGCTGCTAATGTCTTGCGGAATTTAAATGGTTGGTCTAGTGGTTTATGATCTCATGTACATAAGCTGCACTAAGCTTCTTAAGTTTCAATATGCTTGTAATTTCAAGCTTTTGTGTGGATTTAAACTCTTATTTTTCTCTGATTCCATAGAGCCCGCACCCGTTTATATTTCCTTTAATTCCATAAAATAGTCCAAATTTCTCTACTTTGGTAGGCATAAATTTAACTTTGCCTTATATATTCAGTGCGTATAGCATGCTGATTGTCGAATCGGCTTTTAGTTTGTTGAGTTCTTGAAGTAGAATGCTAAAACCTGTATCGAATGCTTGATCTTTACATTCTTTGTTTGAGGATCTGGCGAATGTCGTGATGTGTTTATGTGCCATATTATCATTATTTGTGAAATTGGTTCTAGTATTTGGTTTTGTCTCCATTTGGTTGCGATTCAGTTGAGATGATATTCAATTGCAGAATAAAAACACCATACTATCAGCACAAAGTTCTGTGAAAGAGTTCATCATTGGATCAAGGAAAGAACACCAAGAAAGCTCGCGGACATCCAGCGAAGCAAAAGAGCACCCGTAGGATATAAATTGAAACAGTTGTGAGGTTTGTCTATTGAATAAGGCTTTTTATGGTCATTAACATTGAGGAATGCCTGCAAAATGTTATACGAATGAGACTAATCTTCCTTTGTCCCTTTTGAGATTTCAACAGGGAAGTTTGGGTTGTGTAGTACTAGTAGAGATGTGTACTTTGTCCCTTCCTCACATTTCTTTTCTTTTCCTTCTCGTCCTTTAGAAGTATTCTTAATCCAAACATAGGATACGTTTAGGTTTTTTCTTCTTCATGGGTGATGGTTTTTATCTTAAATGTCACGGGGTGAAGATGGTTTTGAGTTTGATTTTTCAGTTACTTGATATCTAAGCTTAGAAAATATCATGCCAGTTATGGAAAATTTGATAGACAAAAAGTTTAGATATTTTGATTTATTAATCAGAACTTTATTTTTTTTTTAAATGTAAAAGCTTCAATGTAATAGACAAGGTCCAACAATTTTTTATTTTATTGTTTTTTATCTGAAATAAGCCAATATTGGTCTTCCCACATCTCCACTTGCTTGGTTGAATTAGCCTTTCTTTCAAGAAAGTCTTGTAGCTCTGGGGGCTTATAAGGTGGAGGCATGGCGCATGGGGTTGCATCTCTGGGAGACATCACCAACGATTCTTCCATGAACTTCCTCCACGTACTGGTTTCTTGACACGCCATCGTTTCCGAACATAGCTCGACGGCTGCCGGAGGGATCACCGGTTTGAATTTCAAGAGATTGGCGTACTCGTTTAGCAAATGAAATATGTAATCATAGACATTGTCCATCTTTAAATCCTCTTGTATGAAGTTTCCAGCAGCCTCTCCAATTCCTTTGGCCTAAATGAATTCAAAACATAAAAAATAAATAAAAATTTCCCATTTCTTAGATCTTTAACGAAATTTAGAAGAGAATAGGAAATCGAGAATAAAGTCGCAGAAAAAAATACCTCGTGGGGATGAAGGTTACCCCATTCGACTGCAAACTTGAGGGATTTACATTTGCTGTTTACCCTAATGGGCCAATAGTGCTGCAATGGCACCATGCCCCTTATGAAGAAATCGTAGAATTGGGACCTTATGTACAACGTCATCGAATCACAAGCTAGAATGTATTTTTCACTCACTGACCACGCCCATCCTTCTGTATATATTTTATATCTGTAACACATAATAACCACTTTTCTACTGAAGTCGTTTTATAAGGACTATGGAGGAGCAATCATTTCTGTCCAGTTTCTTAATGAAACTGATCTGAACAATCAGTGATTACCTGTGGGTGCATTGGTCCTCTAGATTTGATTGTTTGAACCCTTGTTTAGATTCCCGGCCCCAATCCTGACATTTAAACATAAATTATATATAAATGAATTTAAAAATACTAGAAATGAAATGACAAGGAAATTGCTGATTTTAGGATTTAGTATTTAAGCTTTTAATTTTTAAATATCACATATAAAAACATTAAAAATCCGCCTTATAAACCGTGACCTGTGAGTATATAAAATAATAGCTCAGGCTGATCACGCCTATAAATAAACATTTTTTAATACCGTAAACAATGAAGAACATTAAAATTTTAAAATAAAACGTCTCTTTTAAATAATTTCTTAACCTAAACCTAAAATTAAGAAGAACAAAACAATGGTTTTGACTTTTGAAAAAATGTTTTTGATATAAAATTATCAAAACGTATTCATTATTCTTTATATTTTATAATAAATATAATTTTAAACATGTATCTAAAATAACTTAACCTCTTACGATATTTTATTTTATTTATTTATTGAAATCAACGCTAAACACTCAAAACAACAATCCAAACTTTCCGATAAAATTACTTATCCAAAAAAAAACTTTCCGATAAAATTCTTGAGCATTTTTCGGAAGTGACGCTCCCCAACCATAATGAAAAGCTGAGTCGTTGGTAGGGAACATGTTTTCTGATATTTATTTATATGGTTGAATTATGAGGTGCATCCCTATATTATAAGGATACAAGTAAACTAGTTCCTCTATTATGAAACTAAGCAATTTAGTCTCTGTACAAAGAAAATAGATAAAATTACAGCGATTATAAATTAAAACATTAAATTATTTTTTTTTCATATTTTTAAAATGGTGTGAAAATCTAAACAATTAATCTATTGCATTTTTAAAAAAATGTTAAATTTTGATTTTTTATGTCATTTTACTTCGATAATTTATAAATCACATTTATTATAAACTTGTACTCTAATGAACTAATTTTTTCTGACCTTTAATGTACATCTAAATGAACCTATAAAATAATCAAAACTATACTTGAAATAAGTACTTAGTAATAAATGAAAAGATATGTACTTATTTAGGTATTAAAAATAATAATGGGGTTTACTAAAATAAAGTGCAAATGTTGAGGGAGGTTTATAGAATTTTAGCCAGAAAAAACCTTTTACCTGAACGTATAAGAGGGTATTCCAGTTATTTTTGTCGGTAACATTGCACTTCATAAGGTCTTTTCTAGTAGGGGCCACGGTGGGGTTTCCTCTCCAATAAGCGTAGGGCACCCTGTCCTCCCACTTCGTCCTCTGGTTTCCTTTCTTTATCTCCTCCAACAGATTTCCCCATGGCCTTATATTGGTCTCAGCCCTAATAAAAAAATGGTACCCAAATTCCGCTATTAATTTCATTAATATTGGAATTCAATAAGTAATACAAGCAAATATTTTTTTAAAGATGTTATATTTGAACACTTATGTATTCTTTATGAATGATTATGAAATATTATGAATAATAAATAATAAAAGCAAAAGTAAATTATTAGTTTTAATTCGTTTTAGTACATAAACTTTTTTTTTAAATCATACTAACGTTTTAAAAAATTGAAAGTTTAGGTATTAAGACATATCAAAACTGATAATTTAAGCACTAAATGCGTTAAATTTTTAACAGCGATACTAAAATGAAATGAAAACTAAACGTTAAATGTGTTTTGAAAAAAATAAAAAATTTAGGTACTAAAACGATCAAAACTGATAGTTTAGGTTGTACTTAACCCTAAAATCAATAGTATATTTGTAAACTATCCATTACCATCCCCAGAAGGACCAATCTGGGAACACGATGTCCATGCTCGATTCGTCGGAGCAATATCGGAACAACGGAGGTGGTCGAGCATCAGGACCCTGATAATCCAAGGAACGAACGATGGGTCGATCATCGCAGTCGAACATCAGCTCCAAATCCGGCAATCTTCCAGGGTACAACCTTAGAAGCTGCAATATACCCCACAAAGTGAACTTATCTCTCGTCTGTATTGACTTCCTGAATTTCTCTACGTATGCTCTGCCGTTCACAATCACCAGCCTGAAATGAGCCATCTTCCGTGCCCGCTCGATCATGCCTTGTGTGATCCCCGTTTGTTTCCAGTGCCGTAAATCTTCGTGAATCCATCGGAAGAATGAAGGGCACGTAAGGTTCGATGTATTAATGTCTGAACTAGTGGTAGTAGGATAGTCCCTCGGACATGTTTGTGTCTGGTCATTATCAGTCGAACATTCAAGTAGAAACTCCGGTTTCTGTCTTGATGTTGTTGAATTGGAACCGATGACTATGTTTTGGTAGGAATAAACACCTGAAAATACCGACTACGTAGAAACCAACATAAGCAAAGCAAATATAATTATATATAGAACCATGAAAGGGTTCTGCAACACTTACAGCATCAATCCAACCAACGGAAACTAGGACACCGGCAATGAGGAGTAAGACGGCGGCGATAGAGGAAGCGGCCGCCTTCTTGACGGGTCGCCAAGATGTACCCGTAATGGGTTTATGTAATTCTGACATTGACATGAGACAGAAACCGGTATTATCGTTGTCATAATTGTAGTTGTTTTTCTTTGTTCTTCCATGGATGGAAGGCTTGCCGTCGGCGGGTTCTTCTTTAATTAGGTATTTCTTCTTTATACCTAACATAGCTAAAGCTCAACGACGATCTCGAGCAAGGCAGCAACTTCAAATATTTGGTGCTAATAAACCAAATTAACAGGTCCAAGTGCATTTTCTTATGAAGGTCAAAATGACTAAAACAAGTCGATTATGTGACCTTTACGTCAGAGTCATATGGAAATGGTGACCCTCGAGGCTCGTGGCAAACTACAAATCTATTTATTACTTTCGGCCTAAATTTTGTCAATAACATTAAACATGGCGTGACTTGATGCGTATAAACATGTGGTTAGCCCATTGTCTCTCACATTGAATCAATGTATTGAAGATTGAAAATTAATTTAATGAAGCTTAGGAGAGGGACTAGGTGAAGGGAAGATCACGTTCATTTGGTTACTAGGGCTTTTATTATTTTGGGAAAACTACACTTTTAGTATCTCATATATCACTTTTATTCTATTTTTATCACTCAACTATTATTTTTTTTAAATCAGACCCAACGTTACGTTTTGGTTTCATTTTGATTATTCATAGTTAAAAAATTAACATAATTATTGACTTGACATTTTTTTAAATATTTTTAATGATGAGAATACATTATCTTATAGTGACATATATCGTACGTTTTTCTTGCTCCATAGAGAGAGATGGATCTTTCACGTCTTTTTTTCTTTTTTATACAAAATCAAAATCTTACACTTAATACTCAAATTTAATACTCATAAAGTTGGAATCTTGATTTTAATATTGGTTTTTCAATTGAAAAAATGTTGGTCTTTTGTCAAAACAAGAGAACGTTTAAACGTAAATCCTAAAAAGGGAACTCTTCCGTTTGCTTGGAAGGTCGGGAAAATTTTGGATTAATTTTTAAAATGCTTTTTCATTAAAAATGTAAAGCTAATAAGGCTTAAATGTAAACAATCCATCTTTGGTGGATAACAATATAATTTAGATAGATTTATTTAAAACTTTTAAACAAAAATTTTAAATTTTTAAGGAATTAACTTTCACTTTTCAAACAAATTATGATCTAACAACATTTTAAAATTTAGCAAAAAAAAGAGTAATTAAAATATTAAAAAAATTAAAACATAATACTAAGAATTTTTAAAATATTTATTTTAAAATTAAGAGACCAGTACCTTTTCTAGCCTATTACGGCACGCCCTTGTAACTCATTTAATATTTATATATATAAATCTGCTACGAAAATTATAATGAGACTTACATTAATTAATTTTATGTCTACACGCATGAATTAAACGACTTCTTCGAACACTATAACTGTGAGTGTTTAATGTCAAATGATTTAAGAGTTATCTTTGAACAAATATTATATTGTATTCATATTAAATTATTTTAAATATTTTAAATAATTAAATTTTATAAAATATATATTTCAAAATTACTTGATTTAATTTTTTAAATCATAATAATGAGTCAATAATAATTTTTAAATCATAATGAGTCAAAATTAAAAAGAATGAAAAAAATCTAACAGTGAATAAATTTGGGATAAAGGGAGTATTAAGTTTACACAAACTAAATTAATTCAATTAATTTATGATATTTAAAAAAAGTTTAATTAATCTAAATTTTAAAGTCCGCAATTCCGCAAAAGAAAAATTCACTACGACTCTTCAAATCTAAATAATAAAATTTTCATGTAAAGTATTATACAAGTTAATTTTTATAACAAAATTATAAAATTAAAAGCATAATTTACCACATAATCTCTAAATTTGAATTTCAATAATAGTCCCAATCCATAATGTACGCTGAAAATAACTTGCGTTACATCTTGGAAAATTAGGCAAATCCATAATCTACGGCGGTAATAAGTTGCGTTACATCTTGGGAAATTAGGCAAGTCAAGCCAGCCAGACACGGCAACGCTAATAGTTTGTTTATTGCAACTAGTCCTACTTTAACAATGGACACATAACCCACGTTTCGTTTGTTAAAAAAAAGCATTATTAAGTTTATTTTTTGAAATTATATTTTTATATATTTTTCAGATAAAATATCATTATTAATAATAAATTTTTTTTGAAAATATTTTTTTATTATTTTTCATTTTTGATTAAATTAAATAATATTATCTTAAAAATTATTTTCTTTTCATTTAAATATTAACATAATACAACAAAACACATATAAAGCGTTCTATTTTGAATCAAAAAACATTATCTCGTTAGTTAACTAACGGTTAATGCTTAAAAACATATAAAAGGAGAAGCTGACATAGCGTGTCTGAATCACATAGACTAAATGAGTACGCGACATGTTTATGTGTGATGTTATATGATTGGTTTAAAAGTCACACATGATATGTAGGGCTATAAAAAGCTGACCAGGACTATAAAAAGCTGCCCCGACCTGTAAAACTGAATGAAACCGACTCGAGTCAAAACTATTTTTGACCTGCACTGTGGAGATCCGAAACAGACTCGAGTCGGAACTGGTGTTGACATGAACTCGATTTGGACCTGGAAATTGTGGATCCGAACCCGACCTGCATCCGACTGATATGAACCCGAACCCGAGATTGACCTGGTAAATAACTGGTATTATCCGATCTGTTTTCAACCTGACCTGTTTTCAACCTGACCTGTAAATGATCCAACTTGTTAATGACCAGATCTGATATTTATCTGACTTATATATTACCATGAAAATCTTATAAATTATCAGTTTTTTAACTTATGATGTAATTAAAATATTAATATGATTACTTTTTAAATGTTATAATAAAATATTTATTATGATAATTATATTAATAAATAGAACTATTATATAAAATTATTTAATAAAATTAATAAAATTATTTAAATGTAAATTAGATAAAACATTATTAATAATGCAAAGGAAAATTAATATAGTTTAATTTATATAAATTATATAGTTTAATTTATATAAAGAAAAAATAATATTAATAATAAAAGTATTTATTATGTAATAAATATTAATGGTTTACATTAATAATATAAATAATTTTGGCAATAAAATAATAATTAATTTGATAATAAATGAATATTAGTATTAAACGTGATTAATTCTCTAGAATATAAATATAAACTATACCGTTTAATTTTTGTACAAAAAATTATCTAACAATTATAATATAAATGAAAAATAATATAAATATAAACTATACCGTTTATATAAACTATACCGTTTATATAAACTATACCGTTTATATAAACTATATACTTTATTACTTTATATAGTTTATACATAGTGTTTCTATAAATTGCATCGAAAATTTAAGAAGATATTTACAATCAAACCATTACTAAAATGAAAGAAATTAAAAATCAAATACAAGTGGAAAAATGATGATTGTTGGAGAAGCATGAGCCTAATTAACCCAAAATATCTTGTTGGACACTATATTTGCCGCCAACTTCCCAAATTTTTCTATTCCCTTTAAATTTCCCAATTTCCCTCTAAATTCCCAATTTTCCTATATTCTCAAAATTTATTGATTTCCCTCTAAATTCCCAAATAAAATAAAATAAAATAAAATCACACAAAAATCTTTCTTTTAAAAAGTTTTCTCACACCACTCACTTTGAATAATATATATATATATATATATATATATATATATATATATATGACACCATCAACAGATATGTCTCACTTTAGCACTAAGTTCTAATGGATTAGTCACAATTACCATGCTATGAATAGGTTCTATTGAAATTCTTAAGTCATTCACCAATTTACTATTAACATAAGAGTAATTCAATCCCGGATCAATCAGAACTAAAACATATTTACCAGCTATCTGAAAAGTACCTGCAATGATTTTAGGATTATCTCAATCTTCACTAGTATTTATATTATATACTCCAGTAGTGGAGTGCACTTCAGGTTAAGCGATCGACTCAGATTGATTCCTTCCTCTACCTCAATCTCGATCTATACCTCTCATAGGTGCAACAATGGATCTTTCTGTTTGAGTAGACTCTCCTATCAACAATGGACAATCCCAAATGAAATGTCATATATATATGCACTTAGAACAAGCTCCAGAAACTCTTTTGCACACACCACTATAAGATTTTCCACAATGCTGACATTGATTTGGCTTATCCACTCCTGACTCTAATGAGTGAGTTTGTTTGGATCTTCTAGGATTTGATCTTCTAACTGAATATGCCATTGACTCTGATATGGTATGAGTTCGTTGAACCTCGACCATTCTTTGATTGGAAAGCACTGGACGAGGAACCAGTTCTATTATTCCATTACGTTCTTTGCTCCACAAACCTCTCATTTTGAGCTCATTCCAGGGCTTTGGGTCTGTTCACTACCTCTTGGAATGAAGAGAGGTTAAGTGCCAATAACAACTCTTTCAATCGAGGGCGTAAACCCTCCACAAACTAATCACATGAGTCCTTCTATTTATAGACCAACTCTGTTGCAAATCGACTCAGCTTATTGAATTCGCACTCGAACTCATATACAATGTGATTCCCTTGCTTTAAGCTCATGAATTATTGTTTCATCTGTCGAATGAACTGATCCCCAATGTATTTGTTCTTAAACTTTTCCAAGAAGAACGACCAAGTTTCAACATAATGGCTCTTAAGAATCCCTATTCAACTCGATCACAAGCCTTTTGAATATCTAACTTGAGTGCTTCACCCTTATTAATTCCATTTTTAGAGTTCATATAATGTAATAACTCATGAGCAACTAATGTGTTATCCGCAATTTGCCAGCCAGGTAGAAATGCTCCTTGGTTATCACTTATACATAGTGAGATAGATGGTTTTAGACGGTTAACCAGAACCTTAGACACAATCTTGTAGATAACTTTACAAAGGCTTACAGGCCTTATCTGTCTCATATGTTCCGGCTTAGCAACTTTTGGGATCAAAATGAGAATTGTCTTGTTAATCGTAATCATATACAGATGTCCACGAATAAGTTGTAGGCACAGGTCAATGATATCTTGTACCACAACATCCCAATATAAACGAAAGAAACTTCATAGTAAGCCATCGGTGCAAGGGGCTTTAT